AGAGAAGTAGAGGAGGGGGAAAAAACAAGTTTCAGCAAATCAATATCAAATCAAATATACTTTCCACTCTATCAAAACAGATTTCATTACAGTTACAAGCTTCCTACAGGATGGCGGTCTGAGACTTTGAACTCAAACCTGTGTCAGCATTTGGCAAATCAATTCTGTAATTCAATTAACCGAGCTCATTTTCACTCCTGGGAGAGAAAAAGAAACCGCTCGGACTAAAGGTACAAATTTGACTCTATGTCAAAGTGCAAAATGCCTCCTGGCGAAAATCACACATTAACTACAGGAAGTAAACATGAAAACACACCCATGTTAAAAATTGTGGCAAAACAACCTCAACCAGTTACACGCAGCGATGGGAACGCGAGACAATGAAAGAACCTTTTCAACCAGGTATGTAGCAAAACGAGATGAGAATGAAGGGGCGACCTTTAGCAGGAAATGAGCTTATTATTACAGCTGTGCATTCGAACATTATAACCTTAAAAGAACAGAAGGTTAACAACATCTCTTTTCCAAATCTTGCAGAAATACAGTTTAACACTTCAGTTATATGATAACATGCCTTTTTTTTTTAAATTTACAATGAAGGAAATGAAAATCTACTTGGCAGCCATTACTACACATACATTTCAGCCAGGCAATCAAGGTTCACATCGACATTAAACAAACTTTATCCTGCAGACACAGAACAAACTGTGTGGTGTCTGTCTGATTGAACCCATGTGACAAAGGAGCAGAAGACTGTCCAAAGAATTCCCACTGAGGGAGTGTTCGTGCTGATTTTAATTACCTCCTGCCTGCGGCACTCTACCTAAGTGCCACTTCTCATCTAAACCGAACAGATTATTTCCCACGACCGAGTATTAGGGCCACATTAAGAAAAATATTTAAAAATTGTGTGCATTTTGAGAAAAAAGTCAAAATGTGGAGATTACAGTTGCCAATGCCACGGCTCATATACATTCTACAAAACGCCTTGTGTAGATGAGTCAGTGAAACTAACTGATCAGCTGTCCTATCGCCTCTTGTGATTCCACTAGTATCCTTTCACCTGCCCATTTCATTTTGGACAAATCTGGCCAAGTCTTCAGTGTTCTTTTACTTATCACACCACTGTGTTTATGTGCTAAAAGAGAAATTACTTCCTTTTAAATGAAACCAAGTACGATCTCACTAACTCATCGACACAAGGCATTTTGTAGAGGGTATAGCAGCCGTGGCAGTTTGTCTTGAAACACCTGTAATCTCCATATTTTGACTTTATTTTCAAAATGTAAATGTAATGTTTTTCTTAAAGTGGCTCTAATACTTCTACATAATTTCCAGTAACGAGAACACATCTAATACAGAAAAACCCTATATATAAAAAGGGTGTTATATATGACGGCGTCTCGAGTTCGTGACCTCAGGGCCATGGCTGTGCGTGGCAGCAGTAAAGCTTCTGAGGACTGATTAGCATTTCTGTGCTGGTATGGAACAAGTAAATAAATGATCGCTCTGTATAAACATCCGTTTCGTTAATTTACATCTGTAATGAAAGCTAAGGCAACAAACCTTGGTTTGAACAGCCGAGTGTCGCTGTGTCCTCATCTCTTGGATCAACCGGAATACATTAAAATCTTCTGGAATTTTCTTTACAACGTTAAAAGAGAATTAAAAGAAATGTTAAAATCGATCTAATGTGTACATTTGCACAGGTAAGTGTGTGTTGACATACCCCGGCTTTGAGGAGGTTCCATGTGTAGTCAATAGCACAGATAGCTCCTGTCCTCCCACAGCCTGCACTGTGATTAGTGGAAACACACACATATACACAAATAAGCTTTTGTTGTATCGGTGCACTAGATAACTAGATTTCTATCACTGAGAAGCATCTGCTCTTTTTGTATGTTGTTTGCATGTGTGTAATAACACCTCATCCAGACAGGAAGGAGACAGGAGCCTCACAGAAGCACACACACACGCACTCAGACCAAAAATCATAAAAAGTGATCTCACGCTGTCAGCAAGCATTCTGCTACTATAAAGAGTACCGTTACTCCACACAAACAGCGCACATCAACCCACACAAAGCATCTTAACAGATGCAGAGATGCAGCTTTAAGTCCTGCTGTGTAACAGAGGAACCAGGAAATGTCCTCAGGCTGCTCATTATAGCTCATTACACACACATGGAGACGAGTGTGTGTGTGTGTGCGTTGTGTGTACACCCATGCATGTGCGCAGCAGAAAACTAGAAACTGTGGGCTTGTAATTATTCTGCTTTTGTTTACACTCAAGTTGATAACTTTACCATTTAAGCTTCTTACTGTACTATACTGATAATATTTACATTTGTAGCCTAGAACTTTCTGTCAAGTCTCCAGCTTCAGTAAATTGGGTAAAACCTGTTTTGTTTAAGGCAATTAAGCATTTTACATGAATCCATTTTTAGAAATTTCATATATTTCACATATTAGCTGAATTTCACCAAAACAACAAAAACACTAAAACTCAATTTCAGCTAAGAGTAGATGCATGCATAACTACCTGCAGTGTACACATATTGGGACATCATTGTTCTCTTGGTATTCTCTCATCAGCCCAATCATATCCAAAATGGAATCAAATGATGAGGGGACGTCATGATCTGGCCAGTTCATATAATGGAACTGCGTTATCCTACGGGATTCCTGCAGGAAAACAAACGTTGATAACTGAGTGGAGAGTCAGATGAAAGCTGGTTCAGTGGTGAAGGAGTGAAACTATGATATGCCATGAACAATGTTGCCAAACTGAATCTTAAAAAAACAAAAACAAAAAAAAACTTTATTGACACACACAGTTTAAGTATAATCCCACCCCATGGACCTCCAACTTGTACACAAAGGAAATCGTTTTTCACACTAACCCAAACAGCTCTCTCCAGATGCATCTGTAGTCTGCAGTATTCAAGCCTGAAGACGGTGCATCAGATCTGGAGCATGACCAGTTGTTTTATTTTTGTTTGGATGTTTTTTAAAAACAAAAGAAAAAAAAATCCCTCACACACACACAAAAAAAAAAACCTAAACAAACAAATAGAAAAAAAACAAGAGTGCAGCGTGACTGTCTGACTGTCTATGCAGACCTGTCAGGATATTGCACTGCAACAGCCTGAGACGTCTGAAGGATGTTTGTGGTCATTCAGCACAAACGGGAATTTTTTAATGCACCAATCGGCCTGCGTGCAACATTTGGCTCCTGGTCAAATGGCTCCTTTTTCCTCAAACTCAAATTTAAAGGTTGGATGCATGCATGCAGTTGAAGGGGGACTTTGGGTTTATGGCTGCAAAAAGAAAGCCTAATTGTATTTGTTGGAAAACATGTGGATATGAAGTTTATTTGTAGGCAATCTTGTCGCTATTGTGATAGGCTGTAGCGTTATCTGAAAGTTAACACTTACTTTAGACTGGTTTCTTGATAAACTACATTAGGTATTAATGAAGAGGTCTCGAGAGAAAGCACTTACATTTTCATACTGTGCTGTCAAAGTCCTGATGAAGTAGTCTGTTCTGGCCTGCTCCGATTCCTAGAAAACAAAAACATGTGAGAAAAGAGGCAGTCCCAAAACGCAGACCTGCTACGTGCACTCGTCTCACACTCACACACACACACACACACAGAGCTGTATCATCACAGATTTGTCTACTTACATAGGAGATTCTGAAAGGGCCAAAGCTCATAGGCTGCTCCCCCTGCATCGGGAAATACCGCTCACACTTTTTCTAACCAGAGAAGAAAAGTTAGCTTTGGCTGAGAACAAAATACGAGACAGACACCACAGCTTCCTGTGAACACACACTTTCAGATTCAAAATAAACAATTAATGTGACATGTAGAACATAGATGGTGACAAATATGACTAATTATGTGCTTACTATAGCCATACGTGCAAGCAATATAGAGCTCAAAATACGTGATCAGTGTGAATTCACATCGTCTCTTTCCACAAACATTTTTTTATTAGAAAAAAGAACAGCAGTTGTGATTTTACATGTGCAAAAATGCACACACTTACTCTTCCCATCTCAAACTCTCGACAAGCCATCACAATAACCTGCGAAGACACAAAAAGGAAGGATTACAATATAAACATTTAAGCTCTCAAAACTAAAAACGCAGATTTTTATTCATTCCTGCGTGCTCAGATTTAAAAGAGTTAGAGAAACTAAGCAGGGCATCCTTCACGTTTGATCGCACATTTCCATGCAGCTGCATTTCAGGTCATTCCCTTTGATCCTACAGGAGTAATTATCAAAGCTGCAGACTCATCCCTCTTCATAGCACTAGTTAAACCTAATCATAGCCCTCCTCCCTCTTCTCATCTTTGTCCATCTGGTTACAGCATAAGCACTCTCCATCTGCCTCTTAATTCCTGACGACACAATTAAATATTTATTTTGAGTATCTTCATTATTACAGTCTTACTTCGTACACTTAATTTATTTAACCGCCACTAATGTCAACCTTTTTTCCCTAATTTCTGTGATGACGCAAACCTTTTGTTCTTCCAAATCTGCACTCTTGGAAAGAGTAAGCGCTCATTTAAAAGAAAAAGAAAAAAAAAAGGAGAATTACATTTTACATTAAAAAAAAAGAAAGAAAAAAAAAGTCTTCTGTTAGCTGCGGCTAGTTCTTGCAGCATTTTGCAAAAACACATTAGGTAATAAACCCTCTCTTCCTCTTCAGCCACCCTGCTAACAAAAGATCCCCCGGCAGCACAGCAGTTTTTATGCTTTTTGTGGCTAGCTTGCCAAATACTTGCACTGTTAAGGTGCCATTTCCAGCTCTTGCAGCACCACCTCTCCCTTGCTATTGTGCTCTTCTAGTGGTCACTCGCAGTACTGCAACAAAACAGTCAACGCAACACCCCGAAGCGTTTAAAGACTTTTTAATTCCATTTAAATCCTCAGTAGATAAAAGTTTACATTGCTGAAATTGGATCAAATCACTGCAAAGAAGCCAATAATCAGATATCCAGTCTATTAATGAAGACGGGAAGAAAAAAACCCCCCATCAAGTACATCCAAACTGTAAGGATTTACACATCAGACTTTTCCTGCTCTCTTTACCTTCAACGTTTTAGCTCAAAAACAGCACTTAGATACACGATTCAATTGTTCACAATGAGAAAAACAAAAAAAAATATCCCCATCCATTGACTTCCAGTCTTCTAGTAAGGAAAACTCACAGCAACATTGTATTCCCAGATCATCCTCCAGAAGTCGATGACAGAGTTCGGCAGTGGACCCTGAGTTGCAATATAGGCCTCTGGGCCATCCATACCCTGAAAGCAGAGAAAACATGTTCACCGATCAATTATATTAACACATTCAGCGAGGATTAATCACATGGCTCAGTACACTATGAGAACTTTTCCACTAAACCGTAAACAACATGCCAGAGAACATGGTAAAGTAACCTGACATTTACCTTAATGAAGTTAGCATTGATGTAATCTGTGTCCTGATTGGTTGTTTTTAGCTTCAGCTTCACTCTACTGTGATCAACTGGGGAGGAAATGGAAAGAAATATTTTCTCTATTAAAACATTTTCTTCTTATTGAAACAAAAATAAACAAAAAAATGAATGAGGATATAGGTGGGAACAAGTAAAATATGTGATATAATGGACACAGTATTATCCTCCATTTTTTATGTACAGTGCGTGTGTGTGCATACACATCTGTCACAGATGAACCAGTTTTTCCTTTGCCTTGTCAGCAACCCATTCACTAAAAGCCTTAATGAATGAATGGACAGAGGAGAAAAGCAGGATAAAGGTATAAAAAGTAGGACAGATGTTGGATCACGTAAGCTTCCCCCGAGGTTATTATTAAGTACCGCAAGACCTCTGTGTAGGAAACCATTGCATGACCTACGGTAGCTGTAGCTGCTATAAATGGATCTCTAAATATACTTTCTGTTATTTTCTAAATTTCATTCATTTAACCAAGTAGTTAGAATAAAACCCTCAAAGTAAACACGAGCAGGTGACAATATCTAAAAAGATATTTGACATTTGTTGGGGCTGTTACCAGCTTTAACTGAACACCGTTTTCTCTGTTGTACAGTGACCTTTAAAGCTGAGCTGATATGTGCGTGACGCTTATAAGCTGCTCGTCATGCAGGGGGCAAAGTTTCATATAGATTATATTGTCAGGCAACACTTCTGATCAAAACGCCAAGTGAAAGCAGGTGCATTTATTGCTGTGAATCAACTACAGTCATGAAAAAGATGCAGAATGATAAGCTAGTGCAGCACATTTGGCCTTGATCTATGCATATATGTGCGCACACATAAAGGCCAGATGTGCATTTTGATAAACAAGATGCCAACCGGAAGGAGTAAAGCAAAAATCGTCCACAGATATTTTTACCTACTCATAGGCAGCACACAACCACCAAAACCTACAACAATGCTAAACATTAGGCTCCATTTAAATCCTTGTTTATAGCAGCATTGTAGCGTAGCAAGGAAGCACATTAATGCAAAGGCCAGGTGTGACCAAAAAGTTTCCATAAAAATCAAGTTAATTTCTTGTGCACCTCCAATTCTCCTCCCACTTTTCAGAGTTAACTAGGTAAGTAGCGTCTGAAGGTTTGGGCATTCCAAATGACCAGAATTTGCCCATTTTGTCCCCTTTGTCCTCCCCATGTCTTCTTAGTATGAAGAAGCCTTGTCTATTAATTTTTGATTGAATACATTGAAAGTTAAAAAAAAAAAAAACAAGAGAAATTTGAACTAACTAAATCACGTGGAAGCTATGAGATAAATTATGCCACTCTAAGCTAAAGAAAAAAAGTTGGCATCTTTACATACCAACCCCAACTTTTATCCCGTTTTCTTAAAAGAAAGTGGATAAATCAGCAGTGGCTCCATTCACCGAGTTGCCAGTATAACATACAAGAAAGGTACATCAAAAAGTAACATGGCCATAAATTTTTATTAGTTTCACCCGTTTCTGATAAGTTCAAATGTGTCCTGTGGGAAAGTCTTTCATCTGTGGAACATGACTTACATGGCAGTATATCTTTATATCTGTTCTTCTTCACATTCTCCTCTCTCTCCCCTATGTTGGTCGGGTAGATCTTCTCTGTCCGGTATTTGGTAGATAACCGTCGTAACCGCTAAAAACAAACAAGAAAACAGGACATAGACTGTAAAACACTGCTTTTCTCTTTAGCAGTTAGACATTTACCATGTGAAGTGGTTAAAAGTATAAACTGGTCTTCAAATAGAAGAACTCAAACATTGATTATTGTATTATTATATGATAAGACAGCAGGGTCAATCAGTGATACAAGTCAGACACAAATCAGCCTATCAACATCAGTATCACTCAAGAGAGAAAACTGGTGAGCTCGAATGAGAAAGCAAGCACTAGACAAAAGCGCTAAAACCCCCAACACAAAACAAAAAAAATAAAACTTACAGATGATTGTTAATAGACAGTGTTCAGTGCTCCCAACATACTCTTTCTTTAGACTGTCAACTGGGGTATATACCCGGCAATTCATTTCAGCATTTTCATTTTTAGTTTTTATCTGTCTGAGAGAAGACCACCCACAATTCACATATTCGTGGGAAATAACCTCGCTCTTGTTGTGAAAGTTTAATTGTTGATAACCAGCCCACATTCCAGATCAAGGCACCAAAAACTGGTTTGCTAGCACGTTGCCTGTAGATCGTATGGAAGATGGTGAACTGTCTGCCAATGCTTGCCTTCTACCTGCCTACTAATACTAACCAGGCCTTCAAAGTAAAAAAAAGTCTCGATTTAACGCTGCAATCAACACATTTCATTCTTATTCTGAAGGCCACCCGTCACGTGTCACACTTTTCACATTCTCACCACCACTTGACAAGTAGTTGCCAAGTCACTGGAGACAAGTCTGCATTTTTCATGCAAACTACAGGCAACGGCAGCAACCACAGCAATTGCAAAGAGGTTCTCAGTGTACCAGCATTTCTCTTTGTGACCAATTTTACATAGTGACTGTGAGTTCCCCAGGTGTTCACCAGTAATGATCAAGGCACATACTTTTCCAAAGAAGGGATTCGTGAGATTCCCGTGGTTGCCGGTAGGTAGCATAACAACAGCAGTGGCTGCAATGACTTTAGACATGCTCGCAAAAGTATGGGTCAACTATCGTAGGACATATACCATGTGTCCAGAGGGGTACACATCGAGCACTTGTAAACACTGCAATATATTCAGCCACGTATTTTAACCTTTACTGCAAGCTTTTAGGTCCACAACTTGTTTCAGTCAGCTCCACTCCAAGCCCGAGCGAGGAGCTCGGAGCTGAAAAGGTTGGATCCGTGCATCCTTGTTCATTTAAGAAAGCATGTTTGCCTCCTTTCATTGCATCCACTCGCGCCAGATGGAAACTAAATCTGTGGGAAACATGTTTCACTTCAGTGTTTGTCTTAGCTTAGATACAAGCAGGTTATTCCCATTTATAACACAGAAATGCTATTTTATCAGTCCTTCTACGCTGACATCACTATTAATACCATTACACCACAGTCTAACACACGAACTCCCAGTCCTCTCTGTGTGACAGTGCATAAAGTTAAGTGTGTCCAAATCTAATAGTGGCTGACACTGATGAAGACGCACTCGGTTAATGGGAAAAGGGAAGAGCACAAGTACGTGGGTCTCTTGTGTGACAGCAGGCCAGAGCTTAGCTAGCTGTCCTTGAACACTGCAGGCAAGGATGAGGATATCTTTACAAAAGGAGAACACTATACAGGGGCCATATTTTCTTCTGTTTACTCGTGTAACTACAGTCATTATGTGTTGGGCTTCGGGCGTTTGCAAAATGAAGGTGACCTACACTCAACACCGAAAGCGCCATTTGTGGCCACAGAAGACTGAATCTGACAGCGTAGGCAAAGAGCTGAGCTAAAAAAAAAAAAAGCAGCTTAATACACTATAAAATGACTTTTCAATGAGTCTCTTTATTGTCAAGACAACTGCTACTGTGATAGAAAATGACATCAGGAAGAGGAAAATTTTTTAATTTAAAGAACCACATTTTATTAAGCCTATTCTGAATCCTTTGTTTTTTTTTAATCTTCATTCTGGTCTTGAGTTTAACAGTGAAAGTCTAAAGAAACTTCAAAAGCACAGCAAAACTTTTGTACCATTATAAAACTCTTGCTGCTGAAGTTAGATAGCATTCACATGGTGTCACTCTCAAGGGCCTTAAAAAAAAGAAGATATTTCTGAAGTCTGTTTAATCTCTTTCCTCTTGGTTATTCAGACATTGAGGAAATTAGGAATCTCTCTCTCTCTCTCTAAGTCTGAGAAAGTCGGCGTGGGCGTTCAGGCTTCTGGAGCCTCGTGTGAAAAATGGTCCCACCTCTTCTCTCTGGCTTTCCTCCTGTTACTGTAGCACGGCACTGCACACCCCAACTCCTTGTGTTTCTTCCTCGTTTCACTTTTGTAACAACTACAGTGCTAGTGGACATATTAGCATTGAATAAATGTGACATTTCAACAAAAAAAAAAAAAACAAAAAAAAAAGACTATACTTGATTTTTCAAAATCCACAATGCTTACAGAAGTATTAGATAGTGGTTTCTGTGCATCAGTTTTTTCTTCACTCGTAAATAATTCAAGCATTTCTGACTTCCAGAAAGTTGTCTTTTGAAACTTTTTATATTTTTCTGAGCACAGCACACAAGAATCCCCCCAATGACATGATCAGTTTTTCAAAATTTAATTTTACGAACTGACGGAGAGAAAAGGAGCGCGAAACAGAGACCGTGGGCGGCAACACAGCTGTGCATGTGTGTGAGAGTGTGTGTGGTAATAGCGTTAGAGCTCCTCTGGCCTCATGTGAATTACATTTGCAACAGAGGTCTGCTTCTGTGTTGGGCCACAGCCCGGGCAGACATGCACACAAACACACTCTCACATAGACACATACACAAAACGAGTAGAGAAGTCAGGCAGTAATGATGATAAGTAGCTTCCCTTTGTAGCCCCTTTTGTTTCATTTACAGGAAACCCGGGGAATCAAATTCATTTTCCCATTAAATCCTGTGGATTTAGACATTCGGTGGCACCTGGCGTACAGATTTTTGCCCCCTTAATCACCCATTTTAATCTTGAATGACAGAATATATTATCTGCCAGTTAGGACAAACCAAGCAGTAACAGCAGCTACACTCAAAATTTCTGCAAAATTAACTCTAGGGCAGGGGTGTGCAGCATAAGGCCTAAGGGCCAGAATCAGCCTGGCACAGACTCAATATCGGCCCACTGTATGGCTTTGGAAAATGTATTTTTTAGGTGGATAGTTCTGGTATCTTCTGTTTTACAGTTACAAGACAGTCTGGGCAATGAGCTACTTACTCTATAAGCCCAGGGAGACAAGCTGATAGATTTTTTAAATTTACTACAGCAGTATTTCTTTATCATGTAGAAAAACTGAGATGTAATGTTGAAATTACAAGTCTTCTTTTTCTTTAAATATATCTGAGGGATAGAATGTGTAGTTAAACTTTGAGTTTTTACTCCAGTGAATAGCTTTGCATCGTTCACAGTTCGATGTAACTCAATCTTATTCTGTGAGATGATAAAAGGTCCTTAGTTCACTCACTGTCTACCATGCTGCTATAAGGCAACCCTATCGTTAAGCAATCTTCTTATGATAGACACAAAAAAGGTGTTTTTTGGACAGCAAGTGGGCGGGGCTTCTTGATTACATTTTAAGGATACCTGTTCAATGACATAACGCAGAGCCAAAAGTAGTAAAACCTGCCTGAAACTAAGTGTCAAGAGCAATCTGAAACTTGAGCTTTTAGCTAACAAGGATTAGCAACACACAAATGTACTATAATAACAATCATAAACATTTGTAACTGATACGTTTTATTATCCCAGGTTTCACACAGTCACTGATAACAAATCTGTAAATTATACTGATGTTCTTAAATATAATTAAAAGCACGTATGCAAAACCAGTAGTTCTAAGTCATGAATGCACCATAGAGTGCTATCTTCAGCATCACTGACAGCGCCTTTATTTATCACTTGTTAATCTGCTGATAGAGCAGGGCTGACTTGTCTGTGGAGTGTCACTTACAACAATTACAGGAATGGCAACTAGGAACTGCTTCCAAATTGTCTACTCCATCAAAATATATGCCTTTAAATGTATCAGTTCCTTTAATCAACGCTAGCATATTTTCTGAGAAGTTGTGCAACAATGGATGTAAACTCAGCATGGCCTTTTTTTTTTCCCTGTCTTGACCACAGAGACAACTGAAAAGGAATTAATGAAACAACCAACAAAAGATCAACCCTATAAAGGCACTTGTTTCAATATCAGTCCTTAGTTATAATTACTAATATTATTACCAGTTAAAACCACTTGTTTAATTGAAAGCCTATGTGATTTAAGGTAGAGTAAAAAGATACCTCTATAATATTAGAAGATTAGATGAAGAATATGTTAACAGTACTCCAATCAGTCCTGTGAAAAGCTGAGCTCACACCCGCACGGCTTCCATAGTAATTAAGAGGTTAAGTAGCAGCTATGTGTTGCTAATCAAATATACCTGATTAATTGACAAACTTGTCAATTAAGGCAAAAGTTTCATTTGCAGTTTGTAGGTCTGGGGCATTCTGGTGGGTTAACATCTTGCCACAATCTTCTTAGGAGGAGATGTTCCAGAAAATTCCCCACAAGATTAGACAATGCTCAGAGAAATTGGAAAAAACAAAACAAACAAACAAAAAGCCCCAAGTGCTACATCTCACACTCACACTCTGCAGGCCTCGATTAGCTTGTTAAATGTTGAAGTTCACCCCAGTATAATTAAAAACAGCTTGAACAAGAATAGCTTGTTCGGAAGGGTTGAAAAAGGGAAGTCTCTTCTTATTATAAAAACAAAACGAAACATAGCAACACAGTTTAGGTTTGCAAAGTTGCATCTGAACAAACCACAAGACTCCTGGAACAATGACCTTTTACAGACCAGACCAAAGTGGAGATGTTTGGTCATACTGCGCAGCACCATGTTTGGTAAAAACCAAACAGCATATCTGCACAAACAACTCATACCAACTATAGAGCACGGCGGTGGAGGGGAGATGATTTGGGCTTATTTT